ACCACTTTCGGATTTCCCACAAGGGAGTGCTTAATTGATTGACCCCGAACGAACGATGGGCTGAGTCGATCCCTCCCAACCAAGATTCGAACTCGCACCCTTGCGGTTGCGAGCCGCTCGCCCGACCGCCGTGCCGCCTGACCGGATGAGGTGGCTCGGTGTGGACCGGACAAAGTGGGCGAGCGGGCAGAGGCCGTACGTGTCTCCTTCCCTTATCCGACTCGCCGCTTGGGGGGAGAAAAAAAAAATAGGAGAAAAATTACACAACCCATCGGCCCCACGGCCTGCTGCTGGCTTTGCGTAATTTCAGCAGCGTTGGTTCATCACGGCGCGGAAAGTCCTCGCTTAACGCGCGGCGTTCACGCAGCGACACGTTCCCGCTTCAACGTGCTTTGTCCGTTCGGGAAGACTTTTCGCACAACGCACCATTATAACGTGGATCGCGCCCCGTTATAACGCGGTTTCTGAGCGGCCGACGACGAACTACTTTCCCGAGCTGCGTGGTTGATCGGTACAGTTATACAGTAGTCGGAGTGATACAGCAGCGTGGTGGCGGCGCCGTACCCTCGGCTGTTTGTCCCGCCATCGCACCGCGCGATGTGCGTAGTAGTAGTGGTTCACTTTTCGCGTTTTCCGCTGAACGCAGCTCTTTTCAGCAACACCTGCTTCCCGCGCTGAACGAGGAGTTCTACTGTACAGCCACACACAGCGGCCCAGCCGGGATCGCTTAAATCCATGGCCGGTGAATCGCCAGCTGACGTTGGTCAAGGGACCCCTCTCTTCACGATTGCGGATCGTAGCCCCTGGTGTTGACGTGGCTCCGTGGTGTCACCTGCCGGGGCTCTTCCCTGACCACCTATCTTCACCTCGGTCGCGTAGTGGTTAATTCGCCATCCTGGGCCTCCCCCTACGTCGACTCGGCCTTAAACAAGTACCTGGTCACGTCGTTTGAACGTCGCTGGATGTGTGGGGCCGGGGGGGGGACAAGGGCGACCGGGCGTGGTGCTGGCCACGCCGTGCCAGCCCCCGTAGGCGCTCGCTCGACGCCACGTTGACCCGACAGCCTGCGTCAGCTATACGGGGTGGGGGGTGGGGGGGGATTTTTGTCTATTTTTGGTTAAATAAATAAATGTATCGCGTCATCCACAAACGGGAGTTCTGCATTGTGGCAACGTAAATGCCACCGTAGCCTGGCCTCCAGTGTGAGCGTCACTCCCACTCTGATCTGAGTCTCAATCCCACTCTGATCTGAGTCTCAATCCCGCTCTGATCTGAGTCTCAATCCCACTCTGATCTGAGTCTCAATCCCGCTCTGATCTGAGTCTCAATCCCACTCTGATCTGAGTCTCAATCCCGCTCTGATCTGAGTCTCAATCCCACTCTGATCTGAGTCTCAATCCCGCTCTGATCTGAGTCTCAATCTCGCTCTGATCTGAGTCTCAATCCCACTCTGATCTGAGTCTCAATCCCACTCTGATCTGAGTCTCAATCCCACTCTGATCTGAGTCTCAATCCCACTCTGATCTGAGTCTCAATCCCACTCTGATCTGAGTCTCAATTCCACTCTGATCTGAGTCTCAATCCCACTCTGATCTGAGTCTCAATCCCACTCTGATCTGAGTCTCAATCCCACTCTGATCTGAGTCTCAATCCCACTCTGATCTGAGTCTCAATCTCGCTCTGATCTGAGTCTCAATCTCGCTCTGATCTGAGTCTCAATCCCACTCTGATCTGAGTCTCAATCTCGCTCTGATCTGAGTCTCAATCCCACTCTGATCTGAGTCTCAATCGCACTCTGATCTGAGTCTCAATCGCACTCTGATCTGAGTCTCAATCTCACTGATCTGAGTCTCAATCCCACTCTGATCTGAGTCTCAATCTCGCTCTGATCTGAGTCTCAATCGCACTCTGATCTGAGTCTCAATCTCACTGATCTGAGTCTCAATCCCACTCTGATCTGAGTCTCAATCTCGCTCTGATCTGAGTCTCAATCGCACTCTGATCTGAGTCTCAATCCCACTCTGATCTGAGTCTCAATCCCGCTCTGATCTGAGTCTCAATCCCGCTCTGATCTGAGTCTCAATCGCACTCTGATCTGAGTCTCAATCGCACTCTGATCTGATTCTCAATCTCACTCTGATCTGAGTCTCAATCTCACTCTGATCTGAGTCTCAATCTCGCTCTGATCTGAGTCTCAATCTCACTCTGATCTGAGTCTCAATCTCGCTCTGATCTGAGTCTCAATCCCACTCTGATCTGAGTCTCAATCCCGCTCTGATCTGAGTCTCAATCCCACTCTGATCTGAGTCTCAATCGCACTCTGATCTGAGTCTCAATCGCACTCTGATCTGAGTCTCAATCCCACTGATCTGAGTCTCAATCCCACTCTGATCTGAGTCTCAATCTCACTGATCTGAGTCTCAATCCCACTCTGATCTGAGTCTCAATCTCGCTCTGATCTGAGTCTCAATCCCGCTCTGATCTGAGTCTCAATCCCGCTCTGATCTGAGTCTCAATCGCACTCTGATCTGAGTCTCAATCGCACTCTGATCTGAGTCTCAATCGCACTCTGATCTGAGTCTCAATCGCACTCTGATCTGAGTCTCGATCTCACTCTGATCTGAGTCTCAATCTCGCTCTGATCTGAGTCTCAATCTCACTCTGATCTGAGTCTCAATCTCGCTCTGATCTGAGTCTCAATCTCGCTCTGATCTGAGTCTCAATCCCACTCTGATCTGAGTCTCAATCCCACTCTGATCTGAGTCTCAATCTCGCTCTGATCTGAGTCTCAATCCCACTCTGATCTGAGTCTCAATCCCACTCTGATCTGAGTCTCAATCCCACTCTGATCTGAGTCTCAATCGCACTCTGATCTGAGTCTCAATCTCACTGATCTGAGTCTCAATCCCACTCTGATCTGAGTCTCAATCTCACTGATCTGAGTCTCAATCCCACTCTGATCTGAGTCTCAATCTCACTGATCTGAGTCTCAATCCCACTCTGATCTGAGTCTCAATCTCACTGATCTGAGTCTCAATCCCACTCTGATCTGAGTCTCAATCTCACTGATCTGAGTCTCAATCCCACTCTGATCTGAGTCTCAATCTGACTCTGATCTGAGTCTCAATCGCACTCTGATCTGAGTCTCAATCGCACTCTGATCTGAGTCTCAATCGCACTGTGCTCGCTGAGCATGAACCATGCTACTGTGGTACAGTGTGCTTGTTTTTTGTGAGTTTGCGTTGTTCACCTTTGTGGCTTGTAATCTGAATTCCCGGAGCTGGGAACAGTGTGGTTCATGGTGGGCACACGCGCAACATTTACCAACTCTGCGCACTGCCGATGATGGTGCTGATAGTGGTTGGTGGTGGTGCTGCTGATGGAGATAGCAGTTGTGATAGTGGTGGCAGTGGTAGTGGTGGTGATTATCGTGGTGTTTCCATTGGTCTGGTCTGAGTGGGGAGTGGTAATGTAGCGGTTAGCGCGCTGCGCTATGAACCCGGCGACACGGGATCGACTCCCGCTCACGGCCAACACCAGTGACGATTATCTGAACCGGTCCCGGGCCTCCCCTAGGTCGACTCGGCCTCAAATGAGTACCTGTTGGGGGGGGTGTGGTAAACATTTCGTGGTGCTGGCCGTCCCACTCCCTCTCGTGCCGTGCCGGCCTTCATCAGTGCTACTCACTAACAGCACTTGCCCCTACAGTCTGTTAAGGTTACCCCAGGGTGGTGGGGGTGGTGGAGGCAAGGGAGCAATATTTGTCTTTGGTGCTAAAACTGGTGGTGCTGCTGGTGGTGCTGTGATGGTGCTGGTGGTAGCGGTGGTAGTGGTTGGCACTGCTGGTGGTGCTGTGATGGTGCTGGTGGTAGCGGTTGGTGGTAGCGGTTGACACTGCTGGTGGTAGCGGTGGTGCTGGTGGTAGCGGTGGTAGCGGTTGGCACTGCTGATGGTGCTGGTGGTAGCGGTTTGCACTGCTGGTGGTGCTGTGATGGTGCTGGTGGTAGCAGGTTGGCACTGCTGATGGTGCTGGTGGTAGCGGTTTGCACTGCTGGTGGTGCTGTGATGGTGCTGGTGGTAGCGGTGGTAGCGGTTGGCACTGCTGGCTCTCCGTCACTGCCTCTCACAGTCGCCGTGCTGCTGCCGGTGGTCGTTCCCGTCTGCGATGCACTTGCTGCTGCTGCTGCTGTGAGCGTGCTCTTGCCACCGCTGGTGGTGCGAGCAGAGGAAGCTGCCGCTGCTGTTGCTGCTGCAGCTGCTGCTGCTGCTCAGAATCCGAATCTGCTATTCCTACTATTGCTGCTGTTATAGGGGAGCGGTGGTGCAGCCGCCGCTGCTGTTTCAGCTGCTGTTATCACCGCAGTTGCTTTTGGCCGCTGCCATTGCTGCAGCCGCTGGTATTGCACTCACTGTGACTGCTGCTGTACCGCTGCTTGTGATGCCGGACCGCGCGTGGGTGTGTGTGCGCGCGCGTCCGTGCGTCCGTGTGTGCCTGCGTCCGTGCGTCCTGCGCACGTGCGTGCGCGTGCCGAGCGCCGCCCGAGCGCCGGTGCTAGGGAGGTGACGTAATGCTCTGAGCAGCAGCAGCGGTCGCTGAGCTCATCGGCGAGAAAATCCGCACAGGATCCCCCGCTAGCGGCCATCCCCCCCCCCACCTCTATTCCCCCCCTCCTCCTCATCCAGCCCAGATCTTCTCGCGGACACTCCCTCCGCCTGCAACCACCGAGCACAGCTGCTGTCTTCCTTTCATCATCACCATCCTCGTCGTCAGCGTCTTCAGCATCATCATCATCATCATCATCCTCCTCGTCGTGGTGGTGGTGGTGACCTTTATCACCTAGATCGGTTGAGCCGGCGACCGCTGGAGTGAAGGTTTGAATCTGAGGCGGTGGTGGTGGTGTAGGGAGGGAGGGAGGAGCGAGGCTACCGTTGTAGGTGTGGTGCCGTTTGCAGCAACAGAGCAGGAGAGGCGATTGCCGAAGCTCAAGGGGGTAGGGTGGGGGGGGAGGTAGTTGTGCAGCGGTAGCGGGGAGCGAGAGGAGTAGGCGGAGGAGGAGGCGCTGCTGCTGCTGCTGCTGCTCCGATGCTGGAGCTGGGGCTGTGCGGGGTGCCAGCGCAGGTGCTCGGGGTGGTGCAGGGCGCGCTGTGTCGCAAAGGTGAGCGGCACGCGGCCCCTCCACCCCCTCCTCCCAGCCCCTCTAAGCCCCCCCTCTCCTCCTCAATCCCCATTCAGATCATCCTTTTCGTGATTGTCATCCTTCTCATCCCGATCATCATCATCATCATCAGCCTCCTATTATTCCTCATCCTTGTCATCTTCATCGTTGTATTCGTTCTGGTCATTATCATCATCCTTATCATCCTGTTATTCCACATCGTCCTCCTGATCATCCTCCTCCACCTTATCATCCTCATCGTCGTCATCATCCTCCTATTCCACCTGTTCCCCTCCTCTCCCTCCTGTTCCTCCTTGCAATCTTCCTATTGATCCTTATCATCATCATCCTCCTCCTAATGTTCCCCTCCATAAACTACCACCACCACCTCGTCACAGAGACAAACTCGCAGACAACGGACGGGTGCTAGCCGCTCTCATCCATCCGTGTGTACGTCGTGGGAAACGCCCAGTGTGGTGTCTCTCTCTCTCTCCCTTTCTCTCTGGCTCTCACTCTCTCTCGCTCTCTCTCGCTCTCTGATTCTCTCGCTCTCTCTCACCTCTCAGCATCTCAGGGGTTCCTCCACCGTCACACCACCACTACCACCGTAAGATAAAAGCTATTTTTTGTGTTATTAAATTTATTTCTGGTTCATTCATTCGTGTTCTTTTTTTTTTACGGGATTTTTTGTTATTTTATGGCATCATTCTGTGCTGCGAGGGGCGCGTGCCACTGTGCTGGTTGCAGGGTGGGGCAGGCGGTCGGACGGGTGGGTGAATGTGAGGCATCGTCTGTGTGGATGTACTTGTGTGGTTGTGTGCGTGTGCGCGTGTGGGCAGCAGTTAGCGCGCCGCGCCATGATACACGGCGACCCGAGTTCGATTCCCGCTCGAGGCCACCACCAGTGATGGTTATCCGAACCGGTTCTGCTCCTCTCCTTGCTCGACTCTGCCTCAAATGAGCACCTGGTGTGGTCTGTAAGAACGTCGCCACTGGGGAGACAAACGCGGCCGGGTGGGCGTGGTGCTGGCCACCCACCCCCGTCGTGTGCCGTGCCGGCCTTCATAGGCGCTGCTCGCCAACAGCACTTGTCCCAACAGTCTGTTAAGGCTATGCGGTGATCTTTGTCTTTGCGGGGTGTGTGTGTGTGGGGAGCGGTGGTGCAGTGGTCCGCACGCTGCGTGACAAAGCCCGGCGACCCGAGTTCGATTCCTGCTCACGGCCACCAACGCCAGGGGGCGGTGATCTGAACTGGTCCTGGTCGACTCGGCCTCAAATTGACCATCTCGTGTGATGCGTAAACGTCGCCACTCGGGAGGCAAACGCGGCCGGCCGTGGTGCTGGCCACCCACGCCCTCGTGTGCCCTGTCGGCCTTCATAGGCGCTGCTCGTAAACAGCACTTGTCCCCATCAAGGTCTGCTAAGGCTAGACGGGGGGGGTGGGGGGGGGGATCTTTGTCTTGCTTTTTAACAATTGCTGAGCACAGGACCAATGGCCCAACATGCAAAGCGGCCAGCAATAAACAGCGCAGCCGTAGTAGATAAGAGTGCGACGCGCCTCCTGAATGGAGCAACGTCATTTGTTATAAGAGCTCGGGGAGATGAGATGATGCGAGAGGATTCCAAATGTGTGGAGAATGGCAGACGCGGAACGAGAAGCGTTGTGACCAGCCGTGTGGTGAGCGGGTGGGTGGGTGAAATGGTGTTCTAACTCAAATGAGTACCTGCTGCAGTGTGTAGCAAACATGGTCAGTGGGGAGACGAAGGCGGCCAGGCGTGGTGCTGGCCAACCACCCCCTTGTGTGCCGTGCCGGCCTTCATAAGTGCTCGCTTAACAGCACTTGCCCCTGCGGGTCTGTTAAGGCTATATGGGGTGGGGGAGTGTTGGGACCTGCAGTGTGGTGGGTGGGTGAGTGTTGTGACCTGCAGTGTGGTGGGTGAGGTGAGTGTGACCTGCAGTGTGGTGGGTGGGTGAGGTGAGTGTGACCTGCAGTGTGGTGGGTGGGTGAGTATTGTTGTGACCTGCAGTGTGGTGGGTGGGTGAGGTGCGTGTGACCTGCAGTGTGGTGGGTGAGTGTGACCTGCAGTGTGGTGGGTGGGTGAGGTGAGTGTGACCTGCAGTGTGGTGGGTGGGTGAGTATTGTTGTGACATGCAGTGTGGTGGGTAGGTGAGTATTGTTGTGGCCTGCAGTGTGGTGGGTGGGTGGGTGAGTATTGTTGTGACCTGCAGTGTGGTGGGTGGGTGGGTGAGTATTGTTGTGACCTGCAGTGTGGTGGGTGGGTGGGTGAGTATTGTTGTGACCTGCAGTGTGGTGGGTGGGTGGGTGAGTATTGTTGTGACCTGCAGTGTGGTGGGTGGGTGGGTGAGTATTGTTGTGACCTGCAGTGTGGTGGGTGGGTGGGTGAGTATTGTTGTGACCTGCAGTGTGGTGGGTGGGTGGGTGAGTATTGTTGGGACCTGGGTGGGGGGGGGGGGGGAGACACTCCTCCGACCCTTTGCGACGGCGTCGCTAGTGAGCTCACTTCCTGCCGCTCCCTCGGCAGCCGTAAACCCACCGGCGCGCGCTTTTAGCGGCAAAACCCTCGGGGGGGGGGGGGGGGGGGGAGAGGCCGTTCACTGGCCCCGCCAGGAACTACGGCCACGGCACGGCGGTTCACCACGGGAGGGGTCGCGCCATCACTCTCTCTCGGCCACGCGGCCCCCTGGCCCCCGCCCCACCACCCCCCACCCCCCACCCATCGCTCGATAAACATCCCTCTTCGTCATCGTGCCACGGATCAATAACCGTGTCACCGCTGGGCGCCGGGGCCTTCGCTGCGGAGTGGGCCACGAGGTCTAGGTCGGGACGAGAATCGCCAAGCCGTGCTAATGGCTACGTAGGGTGCCAAAGAGGTTCGACGTACCCACACACACTTGCGGGACCGTGAAGTGAGCACCGTGCCCGTGCGTGCGCGTGCAGGAGGAGCGATGGCGGCCGAGTTGGAACCCACGCCCGAGCAGCTGGCGGCGATCGCGGTGGAGAACGAGGAGGAGGACGCGCTGGACTACAAGCCGCCCGCCCAAAAGTCCATCCAGGAGCTGGTGGAGCTGGACAAGGACGACGAGAGCCTTCGCAAGTACAAGGAGACGCTGCTGGGGGCCTCGCCCATCGTCGCCGGTACCCTGGCTCCGTGTCTCCCTGTCTCCGTATCTCTCAATCTCTGTCTCAGTGTCTCCATTTGTTTCTTCGTGTCTCCGTGTCTCCCTGTCTCCGTATCTCTCAATCTCTGTCTCAGTGTCTCCGTTTGTTTCTTCGTGTCTCAGTATCTCCGTGTCTCAGTGTCTCCCTAGCTCCTCATCTCCATGTATCTGTGAGCTTGTGTCTCCGTATCTCATTGTCTCCGTGTCTCATTGTCCCCCATATGTCAGCGTCCCTCGCACCTCTGAGTCTTCACACCTCACAGAACCCCATGTCGCCAGGAGCGTGAGTACGGCATGACTTGCGCAACTCTAGACGTCGCGTCGGCTCAGCCTCGTCCTCGCTGCAATTCCCTACGGGATTGATGCAAGGTGAATTGCATCAATTCAGTGGGAACTTCAGGGGTGATTGGGCACCATTATGTATGTCCTCACACACCCGCAGAAAGATAAAGATCCCCCGTATAGCCTGAAGTAGACTGTTGGGGCAAGTGCTGTTAGCGAGTAACACCTATGAAGGCCGGCATAGTACACGAGAGGGTGGGTGGCCAGTACCACGCCCGGCCTTTGTCTCCCTAGCAGCAATGTTTACACACCGTACCAGGTAGTAATTTGAGGCCGAGTCGACCTAGGGGAAGCCCAGGACCGGTTCAGATAATTGTCGCCGGATTCGAAGTGAAGCGTGCTCAACCACTGCACCACCGCTTCCCACCACACAGCTCCAATTAGCGCCACGAACGGTGCAAACAAAGTAAAAAATGCATACATCTAGATGCACACGCACATACACACAGGCACACAGGCAGAAACCTACAACCACATGGTCAACACTCGCATACACTCTTTCCACACAGACGCCCACTGTCATAAGTGGATAAAGATCTCCCATATAGACTCTTAACAAACTGTTAGCGAGCACCTATTAAGGCTGGCATGGCACACATACTCTTTCCTGCACACGGTCAATTTATATTTCCACGCAAAGTAGCACACGCACACACTCGCACAAGTTAAAACATTGATAACACAAATATGAAACTTGCCACAGCCCCGCTGAACAAACCAGGCGATGACGTCATGGCAGCCATGTTGTACAGGGATTTCATGGCAGCCATGTTACATGGGGGGGTCATCTTCCTGGCAGCTGATTGGTTGGTGTGTGGCGGGAGTGGTGACACTTCAGATTTGTCATTTTCGCAGTCGGATTGACACCCTGTCCCCGTGCCCCCCCCCCCCCCCCGTGTCCCCCTCCCCATGTCCCTCCCACCCCCATGCCCCTCCCACTCCCGTGTCCGAACTGGCAGATCCCACGGTGGCAAACGTGCAGGTGACGCGACTCACGCTGCTGTGCGAGACGGCGCCTGGGCCTCTCACCATCGACCTCACCGGTAAGAGCCACTGCACTCACCACCGCACTACCACACTCACCACCGCACTCTCACACTCACCACCGCACTACCACACTCACCACCGCACTCTCACACTCACCACCGCACTCTCACACTCACCACCGCACTACCACACTCACCACCGCACTCTCACACTCACCACCGCACTCTCACACTCACCACCGCACTCTCACACTCACCACCGCACTACCACACTCGCCACCGCACTACCACACTCGCCACCGCACTACCACACTCGCCACCGCACTCTCACACTCACCACCGCACTACCACACTCACCACCGCACTCTCACACTCACCACCGCACTACCACACTCACCACCGCACTCTCACACTCACCACCGCACTCTCACACTCACCACCGCACTACCACACTCACCACCGCACTCTCACACTCACCACCGCACTCTCACACTCGCCACCGCACTCTCACCTCACCACCGCACTACCACACTCACCACCGCACTCTCACACTCACCACCGCACTCCCACACTCACCACCGCACTCTCACACTCACCACCGCACTACCACACTCGCCACCGCACTCTCACACTCACCACCGCACTACCACACTCACCACCGCACTCTCACACTCACCACCGCGCTACCACACTCACCACCGCGCTACCACACTCACCACCGCACTACCACACTCACCACCGCGCTACCACACTCACCACCGCACTACCACACTCACCACCGCACTCTCACACTCACCACCGCACTACCACACTCACCACCGCACTCTCACACTCACCACCGCACTCTCACACTCACCACCGCACTCTCACACTCACCACCGCACTCTCACACTCACCACCGCACTACCACACTCGCCACCGCACTCTCACACTCACCACCGCACTACCACACTCACCACCGCACTCTCACACTCACCACCGCACTACCACACTCACCACCGCACTCTCACACTCACCACCGCACTACCACACTCGCCACCGCACTCTCACACTCACCACCGCACTACCACACTCACCACCGCACTCTCACACTCACCACCGCACTACCACACTCACCACCGCGCTACCACACTCACCACCGCACTACCACACTCACCACCGCGCTACCACACTCACCACCGCACTACCACACTCACCACCGCACTCTCACACTCACCACCGCACTACTCACACTCACCACCGCACTACTCACACTCACCACCGCACTACCACACTCACCACCGCACTACCACACTCACCACCGCACTCTCACACTCACCACCGCACTACCACACTCGCCACCGCACTCTCACACTCACCACCGCACTACCACACTCACCACCGCGCTACCACACTCACCACCGCACTACCACACTCACCACCGCACTACCACACTCACCACCGCACTCTCACACTCACCACCGCACTCTCACACTCGCCACCGCACTCTCACACTCGCCACCGCACTACCACACTCACCACCGCACTACCACACTCACCACCGCACTACCACACTCACCACCGCACTCTCACACTCACCACCGCACTCTCACACTCACCACCGCACTACCACACTCACCACCGCACTACCACACTCACCACCGCACTCTCACACTCACCACCGCACTCACACTCACCACCGCACTCTCACACTCACCACCGCACTACCACACTCACCACCGCACTCTCACACTCGCCACCGCACTACCACACTCACCACCGCACTCTCACACTCACCACCGCACTACCACACTCACCACCGCACTCTCACACTCACCACCGCACTACCACACTCACCACCGCACTCTCACACTCACCACCGCACTACCACACTCACCACCGCACTCTCACACTCACCACCGCACTACCACACTCACCACCGCACTCTCACACTCACCACCGCACTACCACACTCACCACCGCACTCTCACACTCACCACCGCACTACCACACTCACCACCGCACTCTCACACTCACCACCGCACTACCACACTCACCACCGCACTCTCACACTCACCACCGCACTACCACACTCACCACCGCACTCGCTTGCCACCACACTTGCCACCACACTCACCACCACACTCGCCACCACACTCACTCACCACTGCACTCGCCACCACACTCACCACCACACTCACTGACCACCACACTCACCAACACACTCACTCGCCACCGCACTACCACACTCACCACCACACTCACTCACCACCACACTCACCACCACACTCACTCGCCACCACACTCACCACCACACTCGCTTGCCACCACACTTGCCACCACACTCACTCACCACCACACTCGCCACCACACTCGCCACCACACTCACTCACCACTGCACTCGCCACCACACTCACCACCACACTCACTGACCACCACACTCACCAACACACTCACTCGCCACCGCACTACCACACTCACCACCACACTCACTCACCACTGCACTTGCCACCACACTCGCCACCACACTCACTGACCACTGCCTTCTGGAGTTCGTGATTGCCAGGTTGACACCCCGAATCGGTTGGGCGACGGCCCTACACTATAAATGCTTTGATGTTTTTTCTAAATGTGGACCCGGATAAAAATCCACTTGACCACGTGGAGAAGGAGACATATGCAAACTCCAAATATACAGCAGTTGTCAGGGTCGGAATCGATCCCACGACCTCCTGCATACTAGGCGAGGTAGTTAACATCTCCTAGCCACCATGGCACCCACTTGGTGGTGGTACGAGGCTCTGTGTACACGGCCAAAGCGAGTGGACCGTGTGGGAGCGCGCTCGCCGAACGATCTAATTTTGGCATCTCGGTTGGTACCGACAAGGACAAATATTTGGTCTGGGCCCACGCTTACCAACTAATCGTGTGACGTCCCAAGCGATGGCTGTGCTCTGTGAACATTTTCCCAAACGCTGCCTTCCACCGCCCCCCACTCTCCCGCTGCGTCTTTCCCCTCTCGACGCGAGGAGAAGCGGTGGGGGGGGGGGGGGGGGGGGGTGTCAACTCTCAGCTCTGGCCCCGTGTTTATTTTCTCTGCTCCGTGGACTTCGACCGCGCCCGTCACGTGTCTCCGTGTTTCCCGTCACGTGTCTCTGCCTCTCCAGTCACGTGTCTCCATGTCTTTGCGTCGCTGTCGTCTCCGCCGCCTGTGGGCTGCCTTTATCTCAATAGAGCGGCGACAATAGTGCGTGCGTGCGCGCACGCACGTGGATTACATTTCTAAATTACGTCTCCAAATCGCCGCCGTCTGAAGGCGTGACGCCCCGGCGCAGGGCGTGGTGCGAAAATCCACAGACCGGGGCACCTGGGGAAGGCAGTCGGCAGAAACGGGCAGCTCAAGCGCCCTCTGGTCCTATTTTGGGATGGTGGCCCGCGAATGTTTCGTCCATCCATGGGCGGTTTTCGCATGCGGGTGGGCGGGGGGGGAGAACACCCGAAGAAAATACGGAGGTAACAATCAAACCCCGAGCGGGTGGTTAATGAACCCCACTTGCTGTACTGCCACCATAACCCCGGCAAGCCCGGGAAATGGGCAGTTTTACAACGCAGCATAGCCACCGCCACAAAGACAAAGATCCCCCGTATAAGCTCTCACAGGCTGTTGCGGCAAGTGCTGTTTGCGAGCAGCTAATGAAGGCCGGCAAGGCACACGAGGCGGTGGGTGGCCAGCACCACGCCCGGCCGTCTTTGTCTCCCCGGTGCTTGTGTTTGCTCAGGACCGGTTCGGATATTCGTCGCACGTGTTGGTGGCTGTGAGCGGGAATCGAACCCGGGTCACCGGGTTCGTAGCACGGCACGCTAGCCGCTACACTACCGCTCCCCACACACACACCACGCACCCGCCCACCGCCTCCTCCTCCTCCCCATGCCGCTCTCCCTTCCCGTGGGTTCTCTCTCTGTGCGTTTGAATCGCGCTCTTTGTTCGGAGGGAGTTGCAAGGGGAGGCCGGAGGAGATCCTTGAACGCAGGGCCGCTTTGAACCCTGGCCTCCCCTACGTTCTCGCACACACGGAGCCCTTTGTGTGTTCACCCGGACTGGAGAACACCGTGAGCGCCGTGAAGATACCGTCGTCGTCATTGTCACCGTCATTGTCGTCGTCGTCGTCGTCATCATCACCATTCGTCGTCATCGCTACCTGGCCAGGTTGCTCAGCTGTAGAGCGAGCGGCTCGCAATCGGAAAGTTGCGAGTTCACACCCTGGTTGGGGGGGGGGGGTGGCGGGGGTTGACCATCCCCACCCGCACCCTCCACGGTGCCAGCGCACACACGCGGACTCGTGTCATGTGCACGCGGACGCACGCTGGGAATGTGCCCGCTGGCCCGTTTGCTGGCACGCATGCCGATGCAGGAAATTGCAACCGCCCCGAGCCCTTGCCTCTGTCGCCCCCTGAGAGCCCCCTCCCCCCGGCAGCCTCGGGTTACGAGCTCGCATTCCCCAAACGATGATGAGCGCCGCTGCCGCTGCGTGCTCTCTGCTCCCCCCCGCGAGTTGCGGTGTGCACGGGGGAAGCGCTTGGCGTCGCGGTCCGTGCTCGCTGCGCCGGGCTGCTGCGAAAAAACAACCTCGGCCGCCCGAGTTTGATTCCTCAGATCCCTCCTCCTCCTCCTCCTCTCCCCCCCTCCTCCCCGCTTCTCGTATTTGACCATACTTCACCCCACGCTGGTCAGTGCGGGTTTTGGTGACGACGTTGGGGGGGGCCCTCTGTGCGCAACGTTCATCGCTGACAAACGCGGGCCACGGCCGTTCTGCACACGGTCTACGTCCGGTATTGTGCGTGCGTTGAACTTCTTTCGCACTGTACGTAGCCGACCGCGCTGATCGGAGGTGCGCAGTCGTAGGACGGCAAGCTAAACGCAAAAAGCACGTTCTCAATAAATAAGCATTCAATCTAGATCCTGAATATGACCGCCTAAGACTGCGATCCAAGTGAGCCAAGGGTGATGAACAAGGAGATGGAAATGCAGAAGCACAGTGAGAGAGATGGATGCGTGCTTGTCATTGCTTCGAGAGACGGGGACGCGTCTGGTACAGGCTTCTAACAGACGCATCGTCTTGTTGGCGTTAAGAAGCGTGCGTGGCCGTGGGCAAGGGTACATTGCACCAGTGGCTTCCTCCTATATCGGGAGGAGAAGAGCGCTCCAGACGGCCGCCGAAGCCTGTCCGAAAAGCGCGCGATGGACGTGGTGACCACCCTCCGGATGGCTGGAGGAAGTCGTTGTAGTTTGATGGTCCAAGGTTTAGCAATCCATTGAATGCAACTCGCTGACCCTGCCCCCCCACGCCCCCGCTCCCCTCCACAACCACCACCGTGTCCCCCTACTTGGACGTCTGCGGAAAAAAAAAGAGCTTCACAGCTTATCGGATTCCTCCGGGATAAATATTCTGATAGCAATAGGCGCTCGCTAACCCAACAGCCCGTGTGGGCTAGCGTGGGTGGGGGAGGGCGGCGCGCCGGGCCGCTAAAACACAGCCGGTCATCTCGGCCGGTCATCTCTGTCGGTCATCTCGTTCGGTCGACCCGTGGCACCTGCTGGGGTCTGTCCCGTGACCTCCTGCCAGCGGGCGTTCATACAACTTCACCTGGCCCTTCAAGTGCACCTGGCCTGGCACGGGCGCCGTGGTGACATCCACAGCCACTTGGTGGCGGTTGTTGTTGTTGTTGATGTCGTCTGCTTGGTCAACGGCCTCCCCTCTCCCCCTCCTCCCCTGCCCGCCCCCTCAACTCTGATCACGTGGCCTTATAAGGAAGGGCAGCCATGGAGGCCGGTTTTTTTTTGTTGCTGCGGGGCAGCACAGTGAGAGAAGGTTCTGGAATGAGCTGGGCGTGTTGCCGAGGTTCATGCCGGACCAGAGGTTGTTTTTTTTTCTCTCTCGCTTCTTTTCAATCCTGGAAAAATCACGATAGGATTTTTTTTAATCGAAATTTTTCTCTTGTTACGAAGAACCATGTGATTATGAACTGCACTCTCTCTCGTTCCTCTCTGGCTCGGCTGGATGACGGTTCAACTGCTTCAGTGTCCGGGCTATCATTGTGGTGTTTTGCTTTGTGCTATTTTGCTTTGCAAAACAACACAATGATACCGATGACCCCAGGGTCACTCTTGCATGTGTAGTGTTGTACAGACGGACTCTTCAAAGTCTTTTGTAGCACACACTTTTATTCGTCTTATGAACACAGTCCCGATGCACTGAGGGGTATACGGTCCCCTCACCCGTTACACTCAGAACGTACAAGCCTCCGCACCCTACAGGCTACTTAATATCCCGCTCTTTCAGTGTCCTCTGACTGGACCTAGGGGATGTCTCTCCGACCACTGGTTACACTGAACCCTAGCCCTTATAAGGGCTGGAGGGCTTGGTCCAGGGTCCTAGGCTTCTTCCGCCGTCTTGGGTCTTCGTGTCGTCGAACTCCCCCAGAGCTCTGAGCACTCTAGCTTTATACTTGTTCGTGGCCGGGTTGTCCAATCCCCGGCCACCTTGTGGAACCCTGTGATTGGTCGTTCCCAATCTGCTTTAGGATCCCAATTCGCCCTATCTGACCCTGACCGTTAGGTCGCGTGGGAAAACCTTGTTTACGGTCAGCTCTCACAGCTTGTGAGACCCTGACCGTTAGTTTGAGCGGGAAAACCTTGTCAACGATTAGCTCTCCCTGTTTGTGAACATCGAGTAGGTAACTCTACTACACATGCGGCTCGTGCTGTGCTCCAGCGGGTTCTCGCCAGGCGAAACGAAATCTACTTCTGTAAACTTACGGAGGCCTCGAAAACACCGGGGCGTACGACTGGCAACGCTCTTTCAGCCAGAAATGTTTTTCGTGAAGATGATCGCAACTTGAGGTGTAGACCCGGTGACTCGGGGGGAGGGGGGGGGGTTAGAGTCGCTGAACCGGCGCAGCTGAGAATCCTGGGTTTTTGTCCAGGTTTTGGCCGCACAGCGTCGATCAGCGTCGATCAGCGAGGGGAAGGATTAAGGGCAAGGTGGCGATGAGACTCTGAAGAGTGGTCCTTGTCGAGTTCAGGTGGTCACGGCTTGAGAGGTTTGAGCGCTGGCAGAAAGTCCTTAGCCAGGATAGGTTAAAAAAAATTCTATTAAGGCGTCACGTGAGTCTTTAAAAGAAAAAAAGCGACTAAATTAAATACAGCAACAAAAATAAATCCAAGACACCGACGTTACAGGAAAAACCAGAAATACCGCACACGCGAAAATCAGTGTGTTAGTAATGCACTAGCTTCATGTCGAGTATCGGTGTGTTAGTAATGCACTAGCTTCATGTCGAGTATCGGTGTGTTAGTAATGCACTAGTTTTACGCTGTGTGTTAGTAATGTATTAGTTTTACACTGTGTCGGTGTGTTAGTAATGCACTAGCTTCACGCTGTGTGTTAGTAATGTATTAGTTTTACACTGTGTCGGTGTGTTAGTAATGCACTAGTTTTACGCTGTGTGTCGGTGTGTTAGTAATGCACTAGCTTCACGCTGTGTGTCGGTGTGTTAGTAATGCACTAGCTTCACGCTGTGTGTCGGTGTGTTAGTAATGCACTAGCTTCACGCTGTGTGTCGGTGTGTTAGTAATGCACTAGCTCACGCTGTGTGTCGGTGTGTTAGTAATGCACTAGCTTCACGCTGTGTGTCGGTGTGTTAGTAATGCACTAGCTTCACGCTGTGTTCGGTGTGTTAGTAATGCACTCGCTTCACGCTGTGTGTCGGTGTGTTAGTAATGCACTAGCTTCACGCTGTGTAGTCGGTGTGTTAGTAAGGCACTAGTTTTACGCTGTGTGTCGGTGTGTTAGTAAGGCACTAGTTTTACGCTGTGTGTCAGTGTGTTAGTAATGCACTAGCTTCATGTCGAGTATCGGCGTGTTAGTAATGCACTAGTTTCACGCTGTGTGTCGGTGTGTTAGTAATGCACTAGTTTCACGCTGTGTGTTGGTGTGTTAGTAATGCACTAGTTTCACGCTGTGTGTCGGTGTGTTAGTAATGCACTAGTTTCACGCTGTGTGTCGGTGTGTTAGTAATGCACTAGTTTCACGCTGTGTGTCGGTGTGTTAGTAACGCACTAGTTTCACGCTGTGTGTCGGTGTGTTAGTAAGGCACTAGTTTTACGCTGTGTGTCGGTGTGTTAGTAATGCACTAGCTTCATGTCGAATATCGGTGTGTTAGTAAGGCACTAGTTTTACGCTGTGTGTCGGTGTGTTAGTAATGCACTAGCTTCATGTCGAGTATCGGTGTGTTAGTAAGGCACTAGTTTTACGCTGTGTGTCGGTGTGTTAGTAAGGCACTAGTTTTACGCTGTGTGTCGGTGTGTTAGTAAGGCACTAGTTTTACGCTGTGTGTCGGTGTGTTTGTAAGGCCGTGCAAGTGGAGTGCAGCAGACGGGCTTTGCAGCCCTCTACTGACCCACCCAGTCTTTTATCTTTCCCCGTTGCAACGTGCGTCCAGGTGTCTGTCATGCATCGGAGACGCTTGCTGTTTTTTTACATTGGCCATTTGTGCGAAGGCAAGCATCCCACACGATCCGCCACGGTTTGTGCGAATGTGATCCGTGGTTTGTTGAGTCGGTGTGTGTGTGTGACCAAGGAGCGGTGCGCGTAGCGGTCAGCGCGCCGCGCTACGAACCCAGCCACCCGAGTTCGCTTGCCGCTCGCGGACAACACCGGCGTGACCCGTTATCTGAACCGGTCCTGGGCCTCCCCGAGGACGACTCGGCCTCACACGAGTACCCAGTGTGTGGCGTGTAGCAAGCGTCGCCACGTGGGGAGACAAAGTCGGCCGGGCGTGGTGCCGGCCACCCACCCAATAGTCTGTTAAGGCTCCACGTGGGGGGGGGGGGGGGGGTCTTTATCTTGTTTTGTTAACCTCAATGCGCGTGCGTGCGCGTGCGTGGTGTCTCGTGCAGGTAATCTGGAGACGTTCAAGAAGGAGTCGTTTGTGCTGAAGGAGGGAGCCGAGTACAAGATCAAGATTAATTTCAAGGTGAGACCACGGGTTTGGGCGGTGATGGACGGTGGCGGGGGGGGGCAGGAGCGGGGGGGGAAGGTGGGGGAGGGAAGGTGGGGGAGGTGGATAAACCCTCGCGATCGGTGTTGGAAATGTGCCGCTGTGCGACGATACGCCACAACAGGCACGGCCATCGGCTCCGTGTGCCTAGCGGTACCGGTCCGTGTTGGCCGATGTTTCTGCAGCGAGTGCGAGAGGTGTGCGCGGGTGTCTGTGTGTGGTAGTGGTAGCGGTTAGCGCTTCGCCGCGCTATGAACCTGGCGGCCCGAGTTCGATTCCCTCTCACGGCCAACGCCGGTGACTATTATCTGAACCGGTCCTGGGCCTCTCCTAGGTCGACTCGGCCTCAAATGAGTACCTGGTGCGGTGTGTACACATCACCACTAGGGAGACAAAGGCGGCTGAGTGTGGTGCTGGCCACCCACCCCCTCGTGTGCCGTGCCGGCCTTGATAGGTGCTAGTCGCTAACAGCACTTGCCCCAACAGTCGGTTAAGACTATGGGGGAGGGGGGGGGAATCTTTGTCTTTAGTGTGAGGATGTGTAATCTTAGTCCCTTGTCAGCCATCTCAATTCATTCAAACCTTGGCACCCTGGGTCTGTCCTGTGACCTCCTGCCAGCGGGTGCTCGACACTTCACATCGCCAGGTGCATCGCCAGGTGCACCTGGCCTGGCGCAGGCACCTGGTGACGGTCACCGTCACACGCGCACATTCGTGTACACGCGCACGCATTTACGCGCAAACTACACACACGCAAAGACTAAGTTCCCCCGTATAGGCATTTGGGGCAAGTGCTCTTAGCGAGCACCAATGAAGGCCGACACGGTGCACTGAGAGGGTGGGTGAGTGCCACTAAGTACTCATTTAAGACCGAGTCGACCTAAGGGTGGCCCAGGACTTGTTCAGATATTCGCCACTGTTATTGACTGAGCGAGAATCGAATTCAGGTCGCCAGGGTTGGTAGCGCAGCGCCGCTAACCACGACACTACCGCTCCCCGTGCACGCTTGCATACACGCACGCAGGAAATGCAGCAGCAGCAACAACAACCCAATCGTCATTCGCACACAAACACACGCACGTGTACGCGTGCGTTCGCTTATTCCCGTCAGCAGCACCCGCGATTCCGGTAACGGGAACGTAGTTCACAGCGCAGGACTTGGACCCTTATAAGCGCACGTAGAGCGGCAATAAAATAATAAAAAGTGGCTCGTACAGCAAACCAGGGTCTCGCCCGGCGGCCGTAAATATAAAAAGTAAACATTCTAGGCCATTAGCCTCCTCGGCCTTGGGGGACGAAACATTTTCCCGGCAGCGTTTTGTTCGCTTTGTTGAAGCGGCCAAACTCCGGGAGGCCGGTTTTTGACTTCGACGAGTCTCATCGGCCTACGAAACGAAAATAATGCCACAGCGACGATACCGCGAGCAATGACGATAACGCAAGTACCTTCGATTCCGTGAGCAGCGGCGGTACCGCCAAGTAGCGACGATACCACGAGCAATGATGGTAACGCAAGTCCCTTCGATACCGCGAGCAGCGATGGTCCCGCGGCAGTCTCGTGGCGGTGCGGTCCCTCCCGTTGAGAGTCGTCTGCCTGCGCGTCTCGTTTGCAGGTGAACCGTGAGATCGTGTCCGGCCTCAAGTACATCCAGCAGACGTACAGGAAAGGCGTCAAGGGTGAGTCCGCGCACTCATCATCCCTCCCTCCCTCCACACGGTGGTAGGTAAAATAAGTACCGATTTGGTTGGGAAGTCGACAAACTGCCCGCCCCACCTCCCGCCATAGAAATGTAGAATTTCCACCACAGTGCCAATGCTCCTCCAGTGATTATTTGAGCAGCAGGAGATCTGCTTTAAATAGAACAACCGCTACTACAACAACCGCTACTACAGCAACAACCAATACAACGGCAACCGCTACTACAACAGAAACAACCGCGACTACAACAACTACTACAACAACAACCGCTACAACAATAACAACAACTGCTACAACAACAACCAGCCACAAGGAATCGGCACTCGAGAAAAAATATCTTACAGTCCTTGGGGGCTCGTTTGAATGGGAAGTCTAAGATTTTGAAACGTTTACAGTAATTGGCTGCTATAAATGTCCACGCGATAAGCCACTTTAATTGTGCAAACATCATTTGTGGCCAGGTCGCTTCTTAAAAAGAGCTGTTATAGCTCAGTGAGCTTTATCTGCTTTTTTGTGTTTTATTTGTTGTCCTTTTCCCGGCACCTACAATTGGCACGGTTGGCTACGTGTGGTGCGAAAGAAGTTGAACGAATGTACACACAGTGCGGGAGAAACGGTGAACCTCGTCGGAGAGAACGCCACGCTTGCCAGGCACAGTGTCTTCAAGTACCTGGGCCTGGATCCCAGGGTTGTTATCGCCCTTCTCTGCTCGGTGTCTCCGACTTGAGAATTTGTCTCGGACCCCCGAAATCTCGTCATCATCGTCATCATCGCCACCGTCGTCGTCATCGTCATCATCATCACCATCATCATTGTCGTCATCTGTTAGCGACGAACGGGGCATCACGAATTCCTGCTGCCGCTGTTGTTTTTACGCGCCTCGTGAAATTTTAAAAAATTGTATCTGGTTATTGTGCCCCCCCCGTGTCAACCCCCCACCCATCTACCCCTCCCATCTCTACCCCCCCCCCCCCTTGGCACCCCGCAGTGGACAAGACGCACTACATGGTGGGCAGCTACGGTCCGCGCGGCGAGGAGTACGACTTCACGACCCCGCTGGAGGAGGCGCCCAAGGGGTTGCTCGCCCGCGGCACCTACAACGTCAAGTCCCAGTTCACCGACGACGACCAGCACGACCACCTCTCCTGGGACTGGAACATCACCATCAAGAAGGAGTGGAAGGACTGAGCGGTGGCGGCGGCGTTGTCGGGGGGGGGAGGGGAGAAGGAGGAGTAGAGGGGAGATGGTGGGGGAGGGTAGGGAGGGAAGGAGGAGTAGGATAGATGGGGGGAAGGAGAGAGATGGGGGGAAGGAGAGAGGAGAGGGGAAGGAGGAGGGAAGGGGTGTTCCCGGCAGGGCTTAATTTCAACCGGTATCTTCGTGCGCATCACGAAAAAAAAAGACTCGCATGTGTACGTGCTGACGACGCTGTTGCTTTGCACATCTTTAGTGTACGGCTCTTGACTCGACGCACGGTACCCACGCACACGGCGTGCGCGAGCGGTGACGGCGATTGTCAGGGGTCGCGGTTCATGCGGAATTTTCGCACCAAGCGTAAATTCTATTAAAAAAAACTAATTTCAACTCGGTTCCTCGTTTCTGATACTTGCCGGCGGTGATGTCACCACCGCCGCCGGACGGCGACGCCCCACGGCCCTTTGCGCTCGCGATCCGCCAACTTCCCGTTCGTGCTGCCATCTTGTAAAACCACCGCCTTGTAGCCGCGCGCCGCCATTCGGCCGTGCAGGTGACGAACGAGCGATGGTTTTATCGGCTCGAACCTTTCGGGCCGACGACTCCGTCGGGTCTTTCGTTTTTCTCTCGGATGACGCGCCGCGATGGTTTTCTGATTTGGATTTTCGTCATTTCTCTGCGAAACTCGTCGGGACTGAGAACGCCACGTTCACCAGGCGTGTGCCGTGTCTGCAAGCAGCTGGGCTTGGATGCGAGGCTTCTTATCGTCCTCCTCTGCTCGCTGTCTCTGACTTGAGAATTCATCTCGGACCCCCGTACTCCCACCGCCGTCACCACCGTCAGCTCGTTAGCGACGAACGGGGGGGGGGGGGGGGGGGGGCCTTCGGAATTCCTGCCACCGGTTTTTGTTGTTGTTTTTGCCGTCGCAAACATCACTCGGGTAGCCGTCACCGGAGAATTCTACTTTTTAGTTTGCGTCGGTGACCCAGATAATAATATTTCCGCGCCCGGTACACTGCGTCCAGTATTTTTCTCCTCGCTGTTGCCGTGGCTTTTACACCACTAGCCGACGCGTGCCTAACTCTGGCGCAGCATGCCAACAACACGGAGACTGAAAAAAGAAATATTTCATTTTGAGAAATTAAACCCTGCTTGTTGTTACTGCATGGTCAGTGCGGGGGGGAGGGAAGGGGGAGAGTGTGCTTCGCATGGCGTGTGTGTGTGTGTGCGTGTGTGCGTGCGCGCATCCGCGAGTCTTTGTTAATCGTCGTAGCTGGTAACTCGGAGGGGGGGGGGCATGGTTTGGAGTCTGCGGCTCTTAATTGTTTCCATGGTCCGGACGCCCTCCGCTCTTGACTAACGATACAAATCATCGCTGCTGCCGTCGCTCGCTCTCGATATTTTGCATTCTGAAAGCATTCCAGCAAAACCCCGTCGCCTTATGATTTTTCGACGATGTTTCTAACCGTTACCACTGGGGTTTTCTTTTTGTTTAAATATCCATTCCTCTATCTGCTTTGCGTTTGCTCGTTTTTATTTGCGTTATTGTCGGTGTGTGTGTGTGTGTTTGCGTGTGTGTTTTGAACTTTCAAGTCCCGTCGGTTAAAAACGACTTCTAACTGCAACTGACTACTGCTAACGCGTCAAACTTAAATGGGCTATCGACTCACAGGGCCAGCACCCACGTGGTCTGGGAAAAGGGGGCAGGGAGAGGGAGGGCAGCACCATCCCCCATTGTCTCGATGACCACGCCTCCAAACTCAAAGCACCAATAGCAGCCTCCTCCCATTGTCCCTCTAGCTCTGCCCCCTCAAACTCAAAGCACCAATAGAAATCCTCCCATTGTATCGCCTCTCCCCATTGGCCAGACGCCTCCTCCCAGTCAGCGAACGAGCTCGCACCCCCCGCGTTACCATTGGCTGGTGCCCTGTGCAGCTGTGGAGTCGATGGTTCCACGGTGGCGAGATGTTCACCACCTCACCTGGTCTACAGGAGGACGTGGGTTCGATCCAAACCCCTTGACGCCTGCTGCTGTATATTTGGAGTTTGCGTGTTCTCCCTGTCGCTCCCCGTGATCGCGTGGATTTGTTTTTTTTCTCCTGGTCCTCCACATTTAGAATCAACATTGTGCATTTAGAGTGTTTTGGCTGTCTGTACATTTCCGCGTAATGAGAAAAGCCACTTCGTCGAGCTATCATTTGTGATGGCCAGGCCGATTCTTAAAAAAAAAGCTATACAGTTCAGCGGGTCTTACCTGGTAAAGTAAAATAAAAAATAGTTTAGTTTTAGAAACGAGTGTCCCATTCACTTTAGCAGGGTTACAGGCGCAGCCCTGCAATAGCTTGGCTCACCCCACTTGGTGGAAGGGCTCCCACTGGAGGGAGCTCCTCGAGAAGAGGGTGATTTGGTCTACTCTTTCACATTGACCGAGACGCGTTGGAAGAGCCACCTTTTCGATGAATCGGGGTTTAAAGTGACCTCCATTGTCGCTTGCGTTGAAACCTCGATTGCGTTTCCGAATCACTTTCAATAATAATCGCGGATTATACTCGACGCCAAATGGCTGAGCAACCGCTGGGCGAAATGCGGTGCTGTTCGATTCACGTTTGGACAATTGATGGGGACATTGATTTACAAATTGTGGATTCACCATTCCCGTGTGGTGATACAAGCTCGAGGCCAAGTCTGCTTGGTGCTCTTTAATGTTTGCTTTAATTACCTCTCAAATAAATGCGTTGATGACGTAACTAATGAGAATGCAACACATTCGTCAACAACAACAACAGCAATCAATTCCACGATCTGCCTAATTGTATTCGGTCCTTTTACGGCAACTGTTGTTGACAAATGTGTTGGGAGCATCGAAGCCAAATTCCATCGCGCGATCACGGGCGGGGAAGTGGACAGCGAGAGTCCAATCAATGGGACACGCACGTGATTCGTTTCGTCCGACCGCAGGTGGGATTCTGCCTCGTCAGGCTATGAGGCAGACAGCAGACAGCCCCCCCCCAGAAAGGCAACAACAACAACAACAAAATCGGTCGCTGTGCACAACCAACACAAGAAGTGAAACCGAACCGCAAAATCTTACAGCAGTCGCCGGATCGCAAGACGCGTGCCCCGGGTGTTCATTGCCTCGTCTTGTGCACGCGAGGTCTGTGGGTTCGATCGTGGCCCTGACCGTCTGCTGCATAAGTTGCATGGACGGTTTGCGTGTCTGTCTCTCTATCTCTCTGTGTGCCGTGGTCGCGTGGATTTTTCTCCGGGCTCCTCCGGGTTTCCCCCCCCCCCCCTCCACATTTAGAATCGACATCACGCGTTTTAGTGTATTTGGCCACTGCTATTCCCGCGTGATTATAAGCCACTTCGTTGAGCTATAATTTGTGATAGCTATGTTGCTCAGCGGGCGAAATAAAAATAAAAGTTTCGTTTTAATAATTTAGTAAGACGCACCTACTTGACACAGCGCCGCACCAACCCCTCTCAACAACAACATCAACAACATCGAGCCTCGTTTGTGCCCGAGTGCCAACACAGTTACACGTCTCGTCTCGCGCGCACCCCCCACCGGATTATCACAATCGCACGGCACCACGCACGCCACAACTTGTGCTAGAAATCCAGCGGGTGGCGAAAGTGCGTCCATTCATAATCCGCCGAAGGAATCGAGCCAGCGGTCTTGCAAACACAAAAAAAGATTTCCCGATCCGGAGATCGTTTCCATCCTCGAACCCAGTGGTTTTTCACGAATGTTCACATTGGGGGGGGGGGGGGGGGGGGGGGTGGGACAGGGGCGACTTTCGCCGGTAGGACGTCAATCTGTGTGAGGAGGGCCGCGACACAATTTGAAAACCATTTGTTGGAGTTTGACAGCGGCACGATGATGATGATGGGGGGGGGGGGTATCACAAGGCGTGTGCATTGTCGGGGTGGCCCGCTTGAGAGGCAGCGAGGGGGCCGCCAGTGTCCCCGCGAGACTTGCAATGAAGAACACCGCTCTCAGCGCCCCCCCTCCCCCTTCCTTCGTCTCTTCTCCCAGCTCGTCCCCATGCGTGCTCCATCCTCGTGCGCCCCGCTCCTCTCTACAACATGCGTTACTGCATCCCCCCCCCCCCCAAACCTCACCCCCAAATCGTCCTCGGCTGCGTCCATGTGACAGCAGCAGCAGTGGAGGACCCCCCCTACCCCCTCTGCCCCCCCCTTCCCCCTCCGCCCCCCCCCTTCCCCCTCCGCCTCCCCCTTCCCCCTCGGGCCCATACCCATCGTCGTGTGTGGATGTCCGCGTTGTGGTTGCTGGTCATCGTCGTGGTGGTGGTGGTTGATGACGCATCGCTTGCTCGTTCGTGATTTCGTTTCGGGTGCAGAGCCAGGAGGAGGAGAGGTTGGGGGAGATGATGGGAGATCAGTGTGGGGGGGGGTGTTGGTTCATGAGAGATGTTTGGGGGGGGTCCACCCCCCCCCCCGCCGCCTCCTGGTTGATGTTGTCCTCCTGTGATCATGTCCCTTGGGCTCCCTACTTCCTCTTGCTGCCTGGTGCGTTACCGCGGTGAAGGATGTCAATAAAGAACCGGAGTTGGGTCCGTCCGTGCTCTCACGATCGCCTGCATTCTCCTCCTCCTTTGCCCCCCCCTTCCCCCTCGGTTCCGATTCGAAGTGAGCGGCAGGTCGTCGAGCGCGGGCTGCAAAGAAATAAAATGGCCCAAAGCTCCCTTAACGGACAGCAACAAGCGGCACTAGTTGTGGGCGCCGCTAGGAGATGTTAACTACCTCGCCTGGTTACAGGAGGGTCGTGGGTTCGATCCCGACCCCTTGGCGCCTGCTGTAGATTTGGAGTTTGCGGTGTCTCTCTCTGCCTTGGTCAACGTGGATTTTTCTCCGGGTCCTCCGGTTTTATTCTCTCCACGTTGAGAATTAAAATCGCGCCTTTTAGAGTGTTTGGCTGCGTTAAATGTCCACGTGATTCTAAGCCACTTCGTTGAGCTGTCGTTTGTGGACAGGTGGCTTCTGAAAAAGAGCTCTGCAGCTCCGTGGGCCTTACCTGGTAAAATACGAAAACTTAGTTTCGTTTGAGTAATCACCCGGCCGCATGGCTCGGCGATAGTGAGTTGAGCGGCTTACAATCGAGAGGATTGATACGATGAGTGACAACTTTGTGTGGAAGTCAACATAGGAATGTGAATGAATGGACTCACCCCCGTCATAAGAACGTGGAATGTCGACCACTGGCTCAAGGGCTGTACACAGACGATGAGTGCCGTATCATGGCTCGTCAGAGCAGGGCACCACTTTTGCGTCACTCGGTAAAGGGTTACTGGATGCAGGGTTACTAGGTAAGGAAACACTTTGTTGAACTGAGGTAGTTTGTAAGAACCTGCTAACACGAGAGGCGATGTTGGGTGTGAGCGAGTTCAAAAGTGGATCGGTGAGGGGAAAGAATGGTTGTGACCTGCAGTGTGGTGGGTGAGTGGGTGAATGAGTGAGTGTGTGAGTGAGTAAATGAGCTGGAGAGTGAGTGAATGAGTGGGTGGCTGAGGGAGGGAGGGAGTGGCCGAGTCAGGGGGTGAATGAGTTGGTGAGTGAGTGAATGAGTGGCACAGTTAGGGGGCAAATGCGCTGGTGAGTGTGTGGTTGAGTGAGCTGGTGGGTAAGTGAATGAGTTTGTTAATTGAGTGAGTGAGTGGCTGAATAAGGGGGCGAGTGGTTGAGTGAGGAGTGAGCGAGTTGGTGAGTAAATGAGTGGCTGAGTGAGGGGGTGAATGAGCTGGTGAGTGAGTGAAAAAGTGGGTGAGGGAGTGAGTGGTTGAGTGAGTGATACTTTGGCCTGCAGTGTCGTGGTGATTGAACACAGTGGTGGGTGAGTTGATGAGTGAGTGGCGGATTGAGTGACTGATACTATGGCCTGCCGTATGGTGGTGGTGTTGGTGGTGGATGAGACGAAATGGGTTAGTGCCTTCCATGATAAGCTGAACTTCCATGAGAAACTGGACTTCCATAGTAAACTGGAATGCCATAATAAGCTGGACTTCCATGATAAACTGGACTTTCAATGTGAACTGGACTTCCATGATAAACTGGACTTCCAGGAGAAACTGGACTTCCATGATAATCTGGACTTCCAGGAGAAACTGGACTTCCATGGTAAACTGGACTTCTATAGTAAACTGATATTCCATGATAAACTGGACTTCCATGAAAAACTGGACTTCCATGATAAACTGGACTTTCATGGTGAACTGGACTTCCAGGAGAAACTGGACTTCCATGATAATCTGGACTTCCAGGAGAAACTGGACTTCCATGGTAAACTGGACTTCCATAGTAAACTGATATTCCATGATAAACTGGACTTCCATGATAAACTGGACTTCCATGATAAACTGGACTTTCATGGTGAACTGGACTTCCAGGAGAAACTGGACTTCCATGATAATCTGGACTTCCAGGAGAAACTGGACTTCCATGGTAAACTGGATTTCGATGGTGGACTGAACTCCCATGGTGGACTGGACGTCCATGGTGAACTGGACTTCGTGGTAAACTGGACTCCAATGGTGAACTGCACTTCCGTGGTCAGGGGTCTGCAACCCAACCAGCAAGAAGAAGAAACTTGTATTTTGTAGAGCCGCACTGCGGCCCTTAGAGAGCCACGTGGAGATCCAGAGAGGCAGGTTGCCCTGCACCCCGGGCGATACGGCCTTCACTGCAGGCGGCCGAGCGTTGTGCTGACCACCCACGCCCCTCTCGTGAGCCGTGCCGGCCTTCTTTAGGTGCTCGTGAACAGCACTGGCCCCAACAGTCTGTTAAGGCGAAACGGGCGACACGGTGGCGAGATGTTAACTCCCCCACCTGGTGTACAGGAGGTCGCGGGTTCGGTCTCGACCCTGACGCCTGCTGCTGTATATTATTTGGAATTTGCGTGTCTCTCTCCCCGTGGTCACGTGGATTTTTCTCCTGGGTCCTCCGGTTTTTCCCTCCACGTTTAGAATCAACATCACGCCTTCAGAGTATTTCGGCTGCTATAAATGTTGGGGGCATTTATGGCTGCTGTACATTTCTGCGTGATCAGCCACTTCGTACGGCTATCATTTGTGAGAGTGCAGGTCGCTTCTGAAAACAAAGAGCGACATCGCTTCGTGGGGCCTTATCTGGTCAAAAAAAAATATTCTTGGGTCTTTCGGTAAAGTCACGTAGATAGGTTCAAAGAAAATAACAAAAAATAACAACCTATCTACGTGACTTTACCAAAAGACCCAAGAATATGAATTCCTGCAGTCACGAAAGCTTTAAGTAAAAAAAATAGTTCAGTAGAGTTTTTAGTTGATCTTTGCCTTCATACTCTTTGGTTCTTCCGGTAAAGTCACGTAGGTATAAAATAAAATAAATTGCAACGTTTCGGGCACAACACGCGTCCATCATCAGGTGCCTTCATATTTACTGCCGCGATGTCACGAGCGCGGGGCGCCTCTGCACGCAAGTTACGGTGCTGTTTAGCCACGCCGCGATGCGGCTAGTGGTGGGTGGGTGGGTGAATGAATGAATGAGTGAGTGGTGGGTGGGTGAGTGGGTGAATGAGTGAGTGGGTTTCCCGTAAACGCGGACAGATGGATCGTCCCTTACCGTCTGTGTGCACGGCACGCGCAAACTCGCGGGGAACACTCTCGAAGCAGCACGGGGTGTGTGCGTCTTTGAATTGCATTGTATGGAGGCTTTAATTATTTACTGCAGAGCCGTATACAATTACAGATTTGCATTGTTGGTGTATGTATTCGTGTTGAACTTCTTTAGACACGTAGCTAGCCAACCGTTCTAATCGGAGGTGCGGGGGGAAAGGACAACACGAAAAAACTGCTCTCAAGAAAATGAGCAGAGGCATCGATCAGCCTCCCCTTGTACAATATTTGTACCAGATGGGAATTCCTCTGGCACTGCCATGGAAGGCTTCTCAAACTACGTGGTCTAAAAAATATATTCAATAATGTAGGAGCCAGCGGGCATCCCTGTCGCACCGCAAAGTGAACAGAAAGTAGCTCTCTCTCCCAGCCACGCGCAGCTTTACCCGAGCCAGCCCAACATCATGAAGGTCCTCAATGATTGCAAGCATGTACGTACGTGTCACGAACGCTGTCTCTGGTGTGGACCAATCAGTTTCAAAGACAATGAATATACTATCAGAGTATGTTCTTTGTTTGCATTTGACCACACGTTTTTTGTGGTTAATGCAGACATGATTCCTTGCAAAAGGTTTCAGTTTGGTGTTTTAACATCTTAACACCCGTTTTATTGCCAGAAAAAATGGGGAAAACCTATTCTCATACGTATGTATGTTTAACTTCTTTCGCACCGTACGCCTGCCACCCGTGCTAATCGGAGTTGCGTGGGAATGCCAAGGAACTAAAAACAGTAGCAAGAGCGAACGTAAAATGAACGGGTCACCCGTAGTGTAACGTCTAAGCGTATCTTCTCCATATACGACAAATTACAATTGGAAAAGAATGAAACATAAAGATAACACGATACGCTCGTCACTGTGGCCTCAAGAGAACAACAATATACGCGTTGTAAATGTCGACGTTTCGGGCTATGACCTTTCTTCGTGGAACCCGTACGAGGCTTGCAGCCGGGCACATCCGCGATGCCCTTTTCGCTGTGGAGGGTGAGAGGCCACGTGTCCTCAACTCGTTAGAGTCGGGGGCCCGGCACGGTCGCCCCGACTCGCCACACCCTCGGGACAGCTTTGGCAAGAGTCGCCTGTGGGTCACCAGCGTGACACAAGCAACAGATCCCAAGTCTAACCCTCGCCCGCGTCTAAACACTCACCCCCACCCCTACCTGGACTCGAACTCTCACTCCGACTTAAACATTATCCTCTACGTAACCCTCAACGTACCCTGAGGCATAACGAAGGGGTCCGGCAACCTGGTGGTACCAGAGCTGCATGCGGGGAGTCTCTTTAGAGGCTGCTTCGTGACGGTATCTTATGAAGGAGCCACCGTCTCTCGTGTTCACCACGTGGCATTGCGGCTCTTGAAAGATTGAGTTGTGTTGGGTTTTTTTAAAAAATCGAATTGTGAAAAAAAAGTCTCGTCGTTAATTTTGTTTGCCGACCGCCACTGGGATGTAATCATGACTCAAACTTTAGTCTCAACCCCAGAACAACCCTGACCTGGGGACGTGTCAAGTTTATTCTGTTTATTAACCAGGAGATGACTTAAGAGGCAGAGACAAACAGACAGAGAGAGAGAGAGAGCAGGACAGGACCTCAGAATAAGATGCTTTAGTTATTCTGGATAAATCCGATGAGCTATGAAGCTCTTTGTTTTCACAGTTATCCATCCGCAAGAGTGGCCTGGGTCACTAACGTGACTGTAAAGACTTTAAGATTAACAAACAACAACAACATCGCATGCGTCAACAACATCGTGTGGCTTTCAAAATAAAAACATTTCTATAAATCTTGACGTAAAACTTTCGTGACCGCAGGGATTCATATTCTTTGGGTCTTTCGGTAAAGTCACGCAGGTAGATTCAAGTTAATAAAAATAAAATAAAACTACGACGTTTCGATCACAACACAAGCGATCGACATCATCGTCCT